CTATAATATTAGTTTCTCTACTAGTTTCTATTTTTTATTATTTAGAATAATAAAAATGTTGAATGTACTTGTGTTAAATGAGATACTCGGTATATAAAATCAATGAAATTACATATATACTTGATCTTTTATACACTTATACACATAATATATGTAGGAACAATCCACATAATGTATGGATGTTTTATATGTATATGTCCCTGACCATTATTTGTTTTTAAATACGTAAATATATCCATCTGATCCTACATATTTAATAACACTGAAAAATATATATTAATGATCCTATGGATGAGTTTCTTTTCCAGCTCTCCTCTTTGCTCAGTGGGCAAAATTGGGAGTGGAGAATCTTTCCGAAAATCACGATGATTGTGTGGTTTAATTGGTTAGGGGTATATTTATCTAATTGGTTGACTTTCATTGGACAGTGACAATTTTTGTAACAAAATTTTGAAAATTGGTAGGCTTAAAATTTATTTACAGGAGTATGATACGTGAAAGGCCGGTTTCCTATATTGTGAAGACTCGAGCGACAAAGCGCATGCCACTTTCTCGCTTCCGTGAATCCACGCCATATTAATAATTAATATTTATATTAAATTGCATCATCAAAAAACTTTTCCCAAATTCCGTTTGATCTGCTGTAATTATCATAAAAACTACAAAACTGTCATTGGAACAAAATTAGGCATGTGTCTGTTTTCTTCATCCCACAGCTCGATAATCACGAAATAAAACCCGGCAAGAGTCTGAAAGTAAACATTAGCGTTCCTAATCTACGACTTTTCGTGGGGAACATACCAAAGTCAAAAGGCAAAGAGGAGATCTTGGAGGAATTTGGTAAATTAACAGGTAAAGTGAATTCGAGGCGTGTGTACCTACCTACCTACCTATTACCTACCTGTCTACCTGGATTGTATAACTTAAGAGTGGTAGCTTTTAAGTAGAGTGGTTGTAGATGGTATGGAACTATGGAGTATCCAAGGATCACATTGATTCTATGATCTGCGAACATACCTTATGGCACCTTTAGTTCTAGTCAGTCTCCTTGTCTCTCGGTTTATTAGTGAACAGCAACACCTCTCTGGTCCAAATCTTCTTTTCCTTGCATATTTAGGTTGAATTATGAGTTTATCTGCTTCCTATTATATACATGCAATAATCTTATCATCTACCTGATTTTCCCATCCTCGAATTTATGCAATTGATCAATTCATCAATCTTTATTACTGATATCTTCTTCATCTTCTTTTTTTGAAATGATGAAAAAGAAGCGAAGAAATAGAAAGAGAAAATGTGGAAGCTGTATGATATTTTTTAGATTAAGAATTATATTATACTGACAAACATATGTGCTCTTTTGTACTATTGCAGTTTTGCAATATGCAAATGTGATAACAAAGCTTTAGGGATATGGGAGATCTGCGTGGACCTGGGGCGTTTGGCTCGCTAACAAACGGACAGGCACTCCCATTCATTTTCTATGACATATCAATCCTTTCGAACTATTTAAACGTTCATGATTTTTTTGAATAATGCTTTTAATTCTTTTTTTATAAAATTTGTTCCCTTTTCCATTCTATCTCTATTGTTCTTTCCTTCGCCCTCTTTTTCAAAGGACGCTTTATGAAATCCCATGTTCAAACAGCCAATAAGCAGGTAAAATCGTAAATGGCAAGCTTAATTGGCACTCTCCTTCCACATTATTCTTACAGCTGAATGATTATGAGATTCGGAAAGGGAAAAAGATTGGTGTTACCGTATCTTATAACAATCATCGCTTGTTTGTGGGAAATATTCCAAAGAATCGAGACCGAGATGACTTGTTCGAAGAGTTTACAAAGCACGCACGTAAGTTGACAATTGTCCTTAAATCAGCAAGCAGTAATCGATGGAAATTCTTTGGGAGAAATAATAGGACAAAAATTTATCATCTTATAATAAATCAGGTGTTTTTCTCTTATCAATAGCAGGAGGTGCCAGGTGGGTTAAATCCAGCCCTCTTGCATAAATGTAAAAAAAATTATTGTGAATTGGTATTCGGAGAAACAAAATTTATATTATTTATTTTTGAAAATATTAATGTTTGGTAATGTTGATCAATTTATTTATAAGCCAAATGTGAACTCTTCTCATCTTAGAATTCCTTCATTTTTATTTTTAGTACATTTCGTTTGCAAAACGTGCACTGTTACAATGAGTAGATCAACTGTATAATTGTGTACAAATTTCAATTTACATTGCTATTTTATTTGAAAAGTACTATACAAGCATGTGAGGGAGCGAGCGAACGAATGGGCGAGTGAGAGAGAGAGGAGGATGAGGCGAAGGAATGTTTCTTTAATTATTTTCAAAGAAAATTTGATACATTTATTTAGTTTTAGTATATTTGAATTTTAATACATTTATTTAATATATTTGGGTTTTAGTACATTTATTTAGTTTTAGTATATTTTAGTTTATATATACAAAACTCAAAATTGGAAACAATTTTATGACAATCAGCCATTGATTCTTTAATCTATACTTTAGTTCATAAGTTTTTATTTTTGTATGCAAGTTATTATTTATTTATGTTTTGAGATAAAAAATATTAAACTTTTACATATATTATTAAGCATATGATTCAAGGTAAAAGTATCTTTAATTTTAAATTATAATTTGAATATGAAAAGATTTATTATTTCTGTAAAGCATAATTGTTAATTTGATAAAGAGAATGATCAATATGATTGAGTGAATGTATCTGATCATTATTACATCTTGTATGTACATGTATAAGATTTTTGCATGTAATATCAATATATGGACACAGAGAGGAGATTTATAAACGAAAATGACAATAAAGGCAAATGTTTTGATGTTTTTATTAAATTTACACATAAGAATGATATAAAAATTAATAGCATTAATAGAATTAAGAATATAATTAATATAATTAATATAATGTGGTGCAAGGCATCTTGTTATATAGCATTTTGTTATATGTTTTATTTTTGATGATATAATAGATTACAAAACAAAAAAATTGCTTTTAATTAGTAATAAATGTTTGTAAATGTTTATGTAAGTAAATCAAATCTGAGTTTATATAAATTTTGAACAACATCTTAGGATTTTAATTCACATAAAATTAATTGGTTATTTTTTTTTTTTTAACTGAAATTCATAATTTAAAGTATACATGAGATGCCTTGTTATGCAAGGAATATCTTAATTCAATAATCATTTCTTAAATTGAGAGGAAGGAGAAAACAGATGTCTCTGAAAAATAAAAATTCAGGGAAATTTAAGATTAATTAAATTATCTAGTGGAAATTATTTAATTATTTCTTGCTTGATAATTTTCAATATTTTTATACTGATACTTTCAGGAAAGATTTGTGAGGTTATATTGGAATGAAATCAGATTGTGAGATATAAATGATATTTTTACATTTTAGAATTACAAATCATTATAAAGATGATGAACATAATACATAAAGTATCGATCTCTTTATGTACACGTAATTGAATCATTGTAATGCATGAGAAGCTTAATAGCATGAGAATTATTCTACTAAATAATATTTATATATGCCTTTTGAAAAAATAATCCTCTCAAATTCTTTCAAAATATCCATGTGGAATAAAAATTATTGACAATATACATAGTTATTAAAAAATCATAGACTTTTGAGCTTGCAATCTTTCACTTTGTAGTTATTAATAGTGTCTATATTTGTTCTGTTCTTTTAATTCTGATTTTCAATAGCTTTTTATTTAAAATATTTTAGTATGACATTATGAGTGTTTGGTGAAGTCATTACTTTCTTATTTTTTCCTTATATTTAATTCTGGGATAATTTCTTAATTAATGAAATTTTATTTGTTAAGTTTATTTTTTAAAAACTTATATTTTTTTCTTTAGATTTTAAGTATATTTGTTTTCAAATGTGTAAGTAAATAAGAAAATTTATGAAGTAGAAAGATTAATATAATAACATTTAGAAAAGATTTCATATAAATGATATGGCAAAATAATTTCATATTGATACATTTCATATTGACACAGATAAATATATTTAAATATGCTTTATAAATTTTGCAAATTGATTTATGTAATGTTTGAGATATATTAATATAATCTTCATATCTGTTTTCTATTTTTATTCAGTTTTTGTTATTGCTAAATATTTTTATGATATGTAAAGAAATATAGCTATCAAATTAGTAGGCGTAAAAAAGTCATGTAACAATATAAATATTTATAATGTTTTATGTATGTAATTATTATTAATAGAAATATGTAAAGTGATTTATAATTTTTTTTAAATAAAAATGATTATTATAATAAGATATAATTTAATATGAATATTTTGAATATACTTTGAAGAATATGAGATTGAAAGAATATGATTATCATATTTATGTGAAAATAAAATGTAAAGTTTTCACTTATAGCAATCATTGTATATATAAAAACTATAATTGCTTAGTTTTATATTTTTTTTTGAAACTGTTTTCACATTTTTTATTATACAATTAACTTATAAAATTTTTGAATGCTTTATTATGTTTAAATCAATCTTACTTATTGTTTATATGAATTTTTTTACATAGCTGGCCTGACAGAAGTGATTATCTATAGTTCACCAGATGACAAAAAGAAGAATAGAGGTTTCTGCTTTTTGGAATATGAATCTCACAAAGCAGCTTCTTTAGCCAAGCGAAGGTTGAGTACTGGACGTATCAAAGTTTGGGGATGTGATATTATTGTTGATTGGGCTGATCCTCAAGAGGAGCCAGATGAACAAACCATGTCCAAAGTAAATCAATGATAAATATGATTAATTTGATTATTTTCATTATTGTTACTTTTATTATTTTAATTTAATAAAAATTATAAATTATTTTGTTTTAGGTACGTGTGCTTTACGTACGAAATTTGACACAAGATTGTTCTGAAGACAAATTGAAGGAAAGTTTCGAACAATATGGCAAAATTGAGCGAGTGAAAAAAATCAAGGATTATGCTTTTATACACTTTGAAGATAGAGATAATGCTGTTAAAGTAAAGAAAAAACATTTTAAGTTATATTTAATTTAACAATTAATATTTACTGCATTAATGACATGTTTAAATATATTTTTTAAGGCAATGAATGAATTAAATGGTAAAGAAATGGGTGGATCTCACATAGAAGTTTCGTTGGCAAAACCACCATCCGATAAGAAAAAGAAAGAAGAGATGCTGCGAGCCAGGGAAAGACGAATGATGCAAATGTTACAGGGTAGAGGCGGGTAAGTTATCAACATCTGTATTTATTTTTGATTTTTATTATACATCACTATATTATACATCATTATATTCAATTTATAATTGTTTTCTTTCGTTTTTTATTTGAGTTAAAGGCATTATAAAGACGTTTTCCTTTTTATAGTGGATCTCCGTCTCATCCAAGCATGATGGGAGGACCAATGCCAGTTCGTGGACCTACACAAGGACCTCGAGGAACCAGCGCAGGTATGCGTGGACAAATGGGACGAGGCGATTATGGTTAGTATCAATTTTGATTTTTTTTTCCTCTTTTATTGCACTGTTTCGAGAATGTTTTTCCAGAACGGCAACTTTAATTTTTATGCTAATAAAAATGTTAATAAATCTTTAAGTTCCATATTGATGTGTTTAATTTTGTTTCTCTCATATAATATAATATAATATAATTTGCTTAAAAGTAAAATATTTTATTTACTGATTACTATTGAGTTTTTTTTTATTTTTTTTGTTTTTTTTGTTTTTTTTGTTTTTTTTTTTATATTTGGATCATAGAATGAATGTTTAATAATACACAAGATGTATTGAAATACAATAAAAACAAATGATATACGTTAAGATTGTGTTGTGTTTCATAAAATAAGGATTAGAAAAAATAATAAATTATTAATTGTATCGTGGCGCGTGCTGGAGTACGAATCGCTACAGTAGTTTTATTGAAATTATGGAAACTTGCATTATGTAATATTATTTTATATAAATAAAATTATAATTTTTTTGTTTGATTTGGAGTTATCTGAAATTAAAAATATTTATTATATTAAATTAATAAATAATTTATTATATTAAATAGTGCGTGCGTGCGTGCGTGCGTGCGTGCGTGCGTGCGTGCGTGCGTGCGTGCGTGCGTGCGTGCGTGCGTGCGTGCGTGCGTGCGTGCGTGCGTGATGTGTGTGATGTGTGTGTACATATGTTAAATGTGTGCTTAGCATTTTGTAATATGAGCACCTTGTTGTCTTACCACTACCACCTCCTGTGATATTTGTGTTTGTATTCTTTTTTTAACCAATATAATTGCATGCATATTTTCTTATTTGTGTTGTATTTTTGTTTGGTTCCTGAGTGAGGATTATTTTATTATTCAGAATATCACTGCATTACCAGGGACTATTTTAATATAGTCTTTTTTTATTTGATTTTTTTTTTCGTGCGTGTGTGTGAATTTTGTGTATCTTGTGCGATGCATCATCAATTCAAAAATCTGTTTGCAGCTCTCCAGGAAGTAGGTAAGCCGTGACGATGAATGATGAATGCAACAGTTGTAAATATTACATGTAGCCCTGTATATTTTCTTATTTATGTTGACTTTAATGTTTAATTTAAATACATATTATAAAGTCGAAAATTAATTTTCTTTAATAAAATAAATTTATAAGTTTTTCTATATTAAATCGTGTTAAATATTTTTTAGATTATATTTTCTTATAAATGTTTAGTAAAATGTCTTTGAAAATTAAGATCACAATCTACATAGCACATTTTATTCTAAAAATATTCCAAATTGTTTCATATTTTCAAATGCAATTCTAAATATGATTCACAAAATCTTCAATTTGAAAATTTAAAAAATTATGGAACTATGCAACAAGTATAGTTAGTATAGATATCTTCAATACTTTTTTCTTATTCTAATTCACTCTAAGAGAATAAAAATAATTCTCACAATTTATTTTTCATTTGTGTTTTATTATTTTTCAGTAAAAAGAAAAAATAAAATTTTGTAAGCAAAATTTATCTTTTTAGATAAGATTTATAGATTAGAAACCTTATCAAGTAATAAAACGAAAAATAGTCTAATTTTTGAGAGTTAATTTTATTTTTTTATGAAGTTTGATAACAATGAGAATAATGTTATTATATATCAAGATATTCTCTATGTTTTTTTAAAATAATAATATAATTATACATAATTTTTTAAATTCTAGGATTTAGAATTTTTTCTTGATTCTTGTTTTAATGTTTAGGATATTCCAATAAAATAAAGATGTTATTTATATTTTTAAAGCAATTTTGCATTTAGTTATATCTCGAATTGTTTTAAAGGTAATTTACGATATATTTATGTACTTTTATTAAATAAATTTTTATGTAAAATTTACATAAGAGAAGAAATAGTAATGAAAGAATAACAAGATAAAATGTTAAATTTATTTTTGATAAATTATTTAGAAAATTCGTTTTATTTGCATTTTTTTATATATAATTATCTTTATTTTAGTAACTGAAATTGTCGGGCCGTTCTGTATAGAATATTTATATGATATCGATTGATACGTAGTTGATATTTTTTTCTCATTCGGATAATTAAATGTTGTCTAAAATATCAGTAAGATATAATAACATAGGTAGACATTTGTGCATCTCTTGTGTACTATTATAATTGAGATCATTTATAATTGAGATATTTACAGTGCCAAAGAATGTATTTCAAAGAATATCTACAGGATGAAAAGGTGTTTATAAAATGTTTTTGAAATAAAGTTTTGAAATAAAGTGTGTTGTGTAGAAAAGATTTTGCACATTAAAAATTACATTTTTATTTAAAAAATTTTTTTTATTTTTTAAATTTATTTTTTTTTTAATTTTAGTTAATATTTAATATATATTTTTTATATTTATCTCTTTAGATAGAATTATTTTAGATTTTAATAACATTTTATCAGAATTATACATGAATTTTTAAATGATTTTATTATTTAAATGATCTTGATAATTTTCTATCAAGATATGATGGTGGTAGGGTAACCAACATATAGTTTTATATATACACTAAGTGTTTTTAATTTCTTCTTTTTATTGAAACTATGTTTTTAACATATAAATATCTTATTCTAAATAAATTAAATTTACTTTAAAAATAAAATAAAAAATAAAAAGAAATTAAAAACACTCAGTATTTATATATAAATATTAGGTGTTCTTAATTTCTTTTTTTCTTTTTTTTTTTAAACTATGTTTTTAACATATAAATGTTTTATTCTCGATAAATTAAACTTACTTTATTTTCCTTTCTTTTTCATTTCTGTTATATTGACATTTTCTAAATTATCTTTTCCCGGCATGCCTGTCTTATATTGAAATAGTTATATTGGAATAATTATATTTTATATAGTAAGTTGTCAATTGGATATATCGTGGCTAAATTTGGGTCTATTTGTAATGTGTGTTTTTATAGATTATGATTACGACTATTACGGTTATGGGGATTATCGAGGTGGCTACAGTGATCCCTATTACGATGACTATTATCGATATGAAGATTACTATTTCGATTATGCGCCGCCTCCGCCGCCTGCCAGAGGGAGAGGCAGGCAGCCTCAACCGGTGGGTCGCCTTTTTTAATGGTTCTAAAAAACCGTTTTTGTTTCTGAAATTATTGTTATTGTTTTATATCTGCAGTAGTTTGACTGTGGCACAGTGTTCGCAGATTTTCCTAATACGTTATACTTCTCTCCAATTATTCATCCAGGTCAATATTTATCCATATATTATCTCTGTCTGAGCGTGTAAATTAACGCTAGCTATTTGGATATGTGCTAGTCTTGTTATAATCATTATTAATGTACAGGGAAGTACACAACACGTATTTATATAAGGTGTGCGTGCGTGCGTGCGTGCGTGCGTGCGTGCGTGCGTGCGTGCGTGCGTGCGTGCGTGCGTGCGTGCGTGCGTGCGTGCGTGCGTGCGTGCTGTGCGTGCTACGTCGTGCGTGCGTCGTTACGTATCGTAGTCGTTAGTACGTTAGTCGTAGTACGTGTACGTGTACGTGTACGTGTACGTTAGTACGTTATACGTATCGTATCGTAGTCTAGTCTAGTCTAGACTAGCTAGCTAGCTAGTCTAGCTGCTGCGTAGTCTAGTCTAGCTAGGACTAGTCGTAGCTTGACTGGACCTAGTAGTAGTACGTAGTACGTAGTACGTAGTACGTAGTACGTAGTAGTAGTAGTAGTAGTAGTAGTAGTAGTAGTAGTAGTAGTAGTAGTAGTAAGTAGTAGTAGTAGTAGTAGTAGTAGTAGTAGTAGTAGTAGTAGTAGTGAGAGTAGAGAGAGAGTAGAGAGAGAGAGAGAGAGAGAGAGAGAGAGAGAGAGAGAGAGAGAGAGAGAGAGAGAGAGAGAGAGAAGAGAGAGAAGAGAGAGAGAGAGAGAGAGAGAGAAAAGAGAGAGAGTTGTAAAGTGCATGCTATAAATGCATTGTATTTTTATAGACTCTATATGAATGTATAGTATACTGACTAACATCGATGCTCTGATACTAGTTCCTTTAATCCGAACACATTGCCACTTTCAAATTGCTTGTAAATCATATCTGAGCCATAGTAGACCCATTCTAAATTTTTAAACAAGATATAGCCGGGAAAAGCAATTTAAACTAAAAAGAAAAGAGGAAAGGCAAAAGGTGTGTGTGTGCGCGCGCGTGCGCGCGCGTGGTGTACACTACACACACCCACACACGGTATCCCGTGAAAATCGTAACAACATTTAAAGATAGATTTCTAAGTCTCATTTTGTGACGAAAATCCTAATATCAAAATATCGAGGCTATAATGCTTTTGAAATTATAAATATTTAAAGTTAACGAATCAAGTTGCCTAAAGTTCGCGCGCTCTGATGTGATATAACATGATGCATAATATGAAAGACGAAATCTGTCACCCTCTTGTCAAAATTGATATAAAAACTATAATACAAAGATAATGAGTTATTTTACTAATATTTGCATAAATACACTGATACATCGTCCGCATCTGTTTGAGCAGATTATATATTAAAAACAGATTATATTTAAAAAGAAGAAACAAATATTATTACATAATACCTAAAGCGCAAGCTATCAAATGACATTTCAGAAATCTGCTAGTTTCATATCTTACAAACAATTAAGAATATTGTCATAGAAATTGATCAAAATACTATTCTAATAATAACAAATTTTTTTAAAACAATTTATAAATAATTTATAAATTAATTTAAATAATAATAATAAATTATTTTATTTCGTTTGATTTATTTACAAATGCAAATTGTGCACCATCCAAATTTGTATGCGATATTTGTAAGATATAAAATTAGCAAATTTCTGATGAAAATAATGTCATTTGACAATTTGCGCTTTACTATATAATAATATTTTTTCTTTTCAATAAGATATAATCTGTTGAGATAGTCTATTTATACGAATATCAATAAAAACAATCTCACTATCTTTATTGTAATCTTTATATAAATTTTGACAAGGGAGTTGACAAGTGACAGTCAACTTTTGTCTTTCGTATTGTGTATTATGTCATATACCTGAGCGTGCGAACGTTAGATAATTTGATTTTCTAACTCTAAATGTTTATAATTCAAAAAGCATTATAGCCTCGACATTTTGTTATTAGGATTTTCGTCTCAAAATGATCTCAGGAATCTACTCTTAAGCGTTGTTACAATTTTTATGGGATACTCTATGTACACGCGCGCGCACGCACACGCACGCACACACATAGCATAAAATGGAAATCTAAATACCCATAAGTTCTCCCAAGGAAGAAGATCGCACATTTTAAAATGTTGCAATCTCCTAACACTATTCCACAATCACTATTATTCTAGCGCAGTTTCAGGAGAATTCCAGATGTAGGCAGAAAGCAGTGTACAGGATTTTTTATCGTCGTTATTCTTTCTATAGTCTATATCTTCTATATTATAGTCTTCATGTATGAGTAATTTATTTATTTTTTTTTTTTCATAGAGCGACGTTACGTCTCGTGGCTCGGATATGATATACTTTTTCTATATCAAGTTGCAGGGTTATCCAAATATGACGAAAGAAAGCGTACGGGCATCCTGCGCGAAAAATTTGTTTTATTATATCATTTTTATTATATTTTTATATTGCGATCAACTTTTTCTCTTGACAAAGTCTCATTTTGCGATAACACATAACACATAACATGCGCATTTAGATTCTTATCTGGCGTTACTATGTTCTATTGTGCTATATACTGTATATGTATAATTTTCTCTATAGCTATGACTGTAAAGAAAAAATATACAAACTAGCAAAATCTTTGAACTTTTGCATTATCTTGTGTTTTCTAATATTAATTTTATTTTTTATTTTTTTATGTATTTATTTTAACCGGTTAATTCCGGTTTAATGACTCAATAATTCTGTTCTGAAAAAAATGGATTAGTTTGTTCTAGATATATCTTTTTTTAATATTTAGAAGTTATATCTAGAAATTATTTATTTTTTTCTTTTTCTTATAATATGATATTTACATGTCTTTTTTGGTAGTATTTATTAATTTTTAACTATCAATTTTCTTTTTTATTTTTTACAAATTTTTGTTGTCATTGTATATAATTTTCTTGTTTTAGCATTAACATGTGATAGCATTAACATTATTGAATTTTTTTTAAATTAAAAGGAATGCAGAAATATTCCTTTTCTAATAGAGATAATTTCTATAATCAAAAAATTTGATTTAGATTAGAAATACAGTGACAGAATAGGGTTTGATATACTTATTGAATTTAAAAAAAAAATGTTCTTATATGTCTTGAGACCTATATTGCTTTTTTTTGTATCATTTTGTTAAATATAACTATGTGTAAACAATAAAGAATGTTTTATCGGATTCCTACAATTCAGTTTCTTACAGGAAGAAATTTTCAGATATATTCCTAATACATACTTTATGTCTGAATAAACAGCTATCAGTTATGTATATGCTATATACAGTGTATACATAAATAATCTTAATCTTCAAGAAATAATGCAATACAATATACCAATTTATTAAGCAGGAGGAAAAGTTTGTCGCAAATTATAAACAGCAGTATTGGAACTAAGGGATGATAAACGTAATTTAAATCAATGATTTATTTATGAACGATTTTTCATATATGTGTCACGTGACGTTTAATAATATATTATTAATAATCTTTTACTACTTGTACACTGAACTATGTGTAGGTATGATACCATGAAGATAGATGATGAAATAGAGAGGATTGCATCCCCCATGTATAGCACCAGTGAACATGTTTCGCAGTTATCGCTTTGATCTTCCACCATCCTGTCATGTATATAAATCATAGCTTATGCTTAAATCACATTTGTTTTAACTGCTTAACAATACTGCGCCGCTTATTTATATAATACGCCATTTGGTTGAATTTTGTTTTAGCTGCCAGTGCAATAGCTTGTGTTGCTTAAAAGTTCCTACGCCAACCAATCAGTTCGCTTTTCGCTTTACTACATTGGATAACTCTGCTAACTCCTCTACTGCTGTATGTAAAAACGTGGTTAGTAAAGATTTGGTTATAGGTGATTTAATCCTTTTGCCATGTGCCTCCTCTCTCTTCCTCCTTTCTTCTTTCCCATCTTCCTCTTCTTCATCCTCTTCTTTTATCTCTCTATCTATCTATTTCATCTCGTTTCTTTTTCTCTTTTTCCATTTCTACTTTCTTCTCCTTTCTCTTCCTCTCTCTTCCTCTCTTCCCCTCTTCTCCTTTTCCTTCTTCTTTCCTTTCTCTCTCTTGTTTTTTCCCTTCTTCTCTTCCACCTTCTTTTCTCTTCCTTTTTCTCTTTTTTCCTCTTTTTTTCTCCTTCCCCTTGTCTTATTATCTTTCTTTTCTCATCTTTTTCGTGTTATTCTTTATCTATATCCTCATGGATGTATATGTATATATAAATAACTTACATATACGTGAAACATATGCATTATGAATGAAATATATATGTATAGGACACCTTTGATCATTCAGCAATATATTGACCGACTCTTATTTTCATTGTGTCTTGTTATTATTAAGTTTTAAGGATTACGAAGTATATTGTGTGGAGCTAATATATATAGGGGAGAAGAAACATTAACTGTAAATATATTTTAAAAAAAGAAAATGAAATGAATGCAGATATAATGTAAATAATTGTATAAATAGATGGGGTAACATTTTGGGTGTGTTATTTGGATAGGCTGGTCGTGGCCGTGGAGTAGTGCCACGTGGCCGAATCGGTGGCCCGCAAGCCCGTGGGCCAGTCAGGGGGGGACGCAACCCCGCAGCTTCAGGGGCCCGTGGGGTCCAGCGACTGGCCGCTCGTGGGGGGGTCCGCGCCAAGGGAAGTTTACCAGGTGAGGATGGTCTGTATCTCCACAATAAATCATTTTTACACTGTTTACATTTAATTCTTGATTACATAAAACGCTTACATATGCATGCGCGCGCGCGCGTACACACACACACACACACACAGAGTTGGGAAAATTATTTTTTAAAAGTAACTCATTATTGTTACTTATTATCGAGTCACAAAAGTGAGTAGTTATTAGTTACTGATTCTGAAAAGTTATCATTACTTAAAAAGGAGCGATTCGTTATCTTTTCCATTATCTTTTTTTAATACAAAAATGAGATCAAATTAAATAAAAAATTTGTTTTTCTTGTTGTATTTTTTGTTCAATTATTAATATTAATAAAAATAATAAAACTTTTTATCTTAAATTCACAAGACTATAAAAAATTTAAGAAGATTTTAAAATACTCAAAATATGAATAGAGATTATGGTTTTTATTATAATCAAATATAGCCAAATTTACATTTTTTTTCTATCCTCTATTTTATATTTATAAATTTTTTAAGATCAGTATTTATACAATTTGTTTTTATACTAATATAGCTATATGATTGGATTATGATAAACTTCTTAAGACAAAATTTTTAAGACAATCTTAAATATAACAATAAATTATGAATATCGATTGAAAACTGAACATTGAATAAACAAAATAATGTTCTAAAGATTTAAAATATAAAAAATAACTCAATTCATTGCTACGATTGAAAAAAATATAATTACATTACCGTTACAGTTACGAAAAGAAAAAAGTAATATTACCAGCCCGTTATCAAAAAAATAATTCTAATAATAACGGCGTTGTAAGTAATGCATTATTTCTCAACCTTGCATATATGCACGTGACACATACGGATACTCATTTCTAACTGTTGTCACTCGTTAAAATACATGAGAATTTGTATTGATAGCTTATATCTGTAATACTCATTACATATTTTTATAAAAATGTAACTATATATTGATAATAGTTTCAAGATATTTCTAATATAATAATAATTTTCAAGATATTTTTGAAGATTTCTACAAGGATGTGTAGATTTAAATATATAAAATAAACATCCAGTCATTTATTGAGTGATAAAAAATGTGGTGAGGAGAAAGGGGGGAAGAGAGAGAGAGAAATTTGAAGTTTATGCTTTCTTAATAATTCAGTTTTGGCATTAACGCAAAAAATATAAGGTTGAAATATAATATATAATTCTAAAAGTAATTTTTTAATACTATAAGTTGCTAGAATCGCTTAAATTATATCAAATCATTAATTATTATTGTAAAATGTCGATTTTTTGGTGTGTGTACATGCGTGCGTGCGTGCGTGCGTGTATGCGTGCGTGCGTGTGCGTGTACACACATACATACATACATACTATTAGATTCTTTTTGGAATTACCGTATTACTGTTATAATAAAAGTTATAATTTTATTAAAAAAGATTGTATTATTCAATGTATGGATGTATCATTCAACGTAAGTCTTTCTAAATATATTGCTACAAAGCTATTAGATATTTGCTTCTGCTTTTTAATAAATTTCTGTTTTTATTTTAACATGCTTTAATGTAAAAAACATATACATATACATGCACACGCACGCACACACATTCAGAGTAGAGATATGCAAATTAAGATTTTTGAATCAAGTCAAATTGAATCAAGTTTCACTTCTTTGTTTGAATCGAATTGATTCATTGAAATACAATTTATAATTAATAAGGATTATTATTAGATTGATTTTAATATATATATATATATATATATATATATATATATATATATATATATATATATACTATATATATACTAG